GTTGTATATCATATTAACAGAATGAAGGAGAGAAACTGCATGATGGTCTCTATAGATAGAAAAAAAGCATTAGAAAAAAATTCTAATACCCTTTTCAGATAAAAACAATGAACAAACTAGGAACAAAAGGGAAACCTCTCAATACGTTACAGGGCATTTATGAAAAATCTACAGCTAACATTATACTCAATGGTGAAAATATGACTGAAAGCTTTTCCCCTAAGATCAGAAAAAAGAAAAGGATATCTGTTTTTGCCACTTCTATTCAACAATGTACTGGAGATCTAGCCAGAGCAATTAAGAAAGAAAAATAAGGCTATCCAGATTGGAAAGAAGAAAAACTTCTATCTCTATCCACAGATGACATGATCTTAAATACAGAAAACCCTAAAGAATCCACAGAGAAAAAATAAACTATTAAAGCTAACACATGAGTTCAACCAAGTTGCAGGATTTATAACTGCAGTAAAAGAATGAAACATTTAGGAATAAACTGAGCCAGGGAAGTACAAAACGTGGACACTGAAAACTACAAAATGTCACTGAAAGAAATTAAAGAGGACCTAAATAAAGAAATACATTCCATTCCACATCCATAGACTGGAATATTTAATACTGTTAAGATGGCAATACTCGCCAGATCAATCTACAGATTCAATGCAATTCCTATCAAAATTCCAACTGCCTTTTTTTGCAGAAATGGAGAATCTAATCCTAATATTCATATGAAGTTGCAAAAGGGACCCCAAATACCTAAAACAATCTTGCTAAAGAAGAACAAAGTGGGAGAACTCATTGATTTCAAACCTTACTACAAAGCCAGGGTAACTAAAAACAGTGTGGTACTGGCATCAGGATATATACGAGTATATTTTGATTAAATAGTACTGAGAGTCCAGAACTAAAGTTACAGATCTATGACCAATTCATTTTCCACAAAGGTAACACAGGCCATTTGCCAAGGAAAGAGTATAGCCTTTTCAACAAATGGTGCTGGGACAACTGGATATCTACATACAAAAGAATGAACTTGGACCCCTATCTTACTCCATAAACAAAAAGTAACTAAAAATGGATCCAAGACCTAAATGTAAGAATTAAAACTCTGAGAGATAGGTGAAAATTGGCATAGTCAATATATTTTTTAAATTTTACAATATAAGCACAACATGCAAAGAAAAAAACAGATAAATTGGACTTCATTACAATTACAAACTTTTGGGAGTTGGGGGAGGTGGAAGAAGACAAAGGGGAAATTAAATGGTGGAGGAAAAACTTTTACTTTGGGTGGTGAGCACAAAATGCAGTATGCAGATGATGTGTTATTGAGCTGTACACTTGAAACCTGCATGGTTTTATTAATCAATGTCACCCCAATAAATTACATTAAAAAATTAAAATTTTTTTGTGTGTCAAGGGACACTTACCAAGTGAACAAACACTTAAACAGACACTATCAAGGGAAAAGACAACACACAGAATAGGAAATATTTTTGCAAATCACATATACAGTAAGGGTCTAGTAGCCATAACATATAAAGAACTCCTACAATTCAACAATAAAAGATAATACAACTTAAAACTGGACAACAGGTTTGAACATTTTTTCCAAAGAAGATGTACAAATAGCCAATAAGCACATGAAAGGATGCTCGACATCATTAGTCATTAAGGAAATGAAATCAAAACCTCAATGAGATGCCACTTTACAAGCAGTACAATGGCTATACCAAAAGAGAAACAATATCCAGTGCTGTCTCCAAGGATGTAGAGAAATTGCAACTTTCATATAGTTATGCACTGCGTTACTTTCAGTCAACAACAGACCACATATGTGAGGGTGGTCCCATAAAATTATAATAGAGCTGAAAAATTCCTGTTGCGTAGTGACTCCTCAGCAGTCATAACATCGAAGCACAACACATTACTCATGTGTTTGTTGTGATGCTAATGGCATCAAAGCTATTGTGCTGCCAGTGGTATAAAAGTATAGCACAAAGAATTATGCATGGTATGTAATACTTGATAATGATAACAAATGACTGTTACTGTTTTATGCATTTACTATACTGTACTTTTATTACTATATCATTATTGTATAGTGTACTTTCTCCTCATTAAAAAAGTTTCCCATAGCCCTGGTCAGGTTGGTCATTTGGTTGGAGCGTTATCCCATACACCAAAAGGTTGTGTGTTTTATTCCCAGTCAGGGCCCATACCTAGGCTGCAGGTTCAATCCCACTGTGGGCTGGATAGGAGGCAACCAATTAGTGTTCTTTCCCCCCCACTCTAAAACCAATAAACATATCCTCGTGTAAGGATTTATGAAGAAGTTCTCTGTAAAACAGTGTGTCATGTTACTCTAGCATCAGCCTCATACATCTTGTTTATCGTACCTCTTGATTACATCATTTTCTCTGTGCTAGATTTAATCTGATGTGGTTATAAAGTAACATTCTGTATAGGCTTGAAGCCTAGGAGGAAAATGCTATACCACAGAGCCTGGGTGTGTAGTAGGCTATACCATCTAGGTTTGTGTAAGTGTACTCTATGATGTCCACACAACAAAATCATCTAATGATGCATTTCTCAAAACATATCCCTGTAAAGTGGGGCATGACTGTATTACTCATAGAAATGTAAAATGGTACACAGCCACTTTGGAAAACATTTTGCCAGTTCCTCAAAAAGTTAAACACAAAGTTACCACATGACCCAGCAATCCCACTCCTCAGTGTATAGCTAAGAGAATTAAAAATATACATCCATCTAATAAATGATAGCTGAATGTTCCTGGCAGCCCAAAAGTGGAAACTCAAATGTCCATCAGTTGATGAATGAATAAACAAAATGTGGTGTATCCATACAATCAATGGAATATTCAGCCTTGGAAGGAAATTGCTACTGACTGAATGTGTACCTCCCCCACAAAAACGGTATGTTAAAGCCCTAAACCCCAATGTGATGATATTTGAAGGTAGGGCTTTGGAAGGTAATTAGGTTTATACAATTCATGAGGGTGGAGCCCCATGATGGGACTTGTGATTTTATAAGGGGAAAAAGAAATCATAGCTCTGTCCCCAACCCTCAATGTGAAGATAAAACAAAAGGCAGCCATCTGCAAAATAGTAAGAAGGCCCTCACTAGAACCTGACCATGCTGGCATTCTGATCTCCAACTTCCAGCCTCCAGTACCGTAGAAATGAATGTTTGTTGTTTAAGCCACCCAGACTATGGTATTTGTTACAGTAACTTGCGCTAAGACAGAATGGAGTACTGTTACATGCTACAACAGAGATGAATCTTGAAAACATGCTAAGTCAAAGAATTCAAAAACAAAAGACTACATGAGTCCATTTATATGAAATGTCCAGAAAGGCAAATCCATAGAGAAAGTAGATCAGAGATTGCTAGGTGATGGGTGCAGGGGGAATCACGACTATCTCTTAACAGGTATGAATTTCTTTTTAGGGTGATAGTACTGTCCTGGAATTAGTGGTGATGGATGCACAGCATTGTGAATATATTAAAAATTGCTGAATAACACTGTAAAATTATTTAAATGCTAAATTTTATCTCAATTTTTTAAAGTTCAAAAAATTATAATTTTTATCCAAATAATATTTACAATTATACATAAAAGGGCACTTTTGAATTTATATATAACATAGTAATACAGATAAACTCTTTATGTTTAACATAATATAGATTATTTCTTTCTTCTTTAAAAACTCTTAAATTTCAGTATAGCATTGTTTAAAAGAAAAAATGAGACCGATCTAAATATCCATTATTAGAGAGCTTATTAAATTATATGATGCAGCTATCAGAAAGAACAAGATACATTAGATGAAAAAAAGCACAGGGCCAAACAGTGGCTGAAGTATGATTTAAAGCTATGCAAACATACTTGTGTCTGCACAAGTGCTAACCACAGCAGAGTGGAACTTGGAATCTCTTAGTTTTCATTTTATGTCATCCTATATTATTGTAATTTAAAAAGTGTTTGAGGCCTGGCTGGTGTGGCTCAGCGGATTGAGCGCCAGCCTGTGAACCAAAGGGTTGACAGTTCAATTCCCAGTCAGGGCACATGCCTGGGTTGCAGGCCAGGTCCCCAGTAGGGGACGCATGGGAGACAAACACACATCGCTGTGTCTCTCCCTCTCCCTCTCCCTCCCCTCCTCTCTCTCTAAAAATAAATAAATAAAATCTTTTTAAAAATTAAATAAAAAATGTTTGAAATAAGAAAATATTTAGATCCTCTTTGAAATACAACTTTAAGTATTTTGATGGCTTTCAAACACATTAAGCATTCACGTATCTGTTGAATATAACATTTGCTGAATATAAGGAAAGCTTCTTTAAATGTTACTGTCTTTTATAATCATAAAATTTATGTTGCAGTAACACAATCTACATTTTCTGACAGATTGCATTCATTGTCAGGCAACATTTCCAAACAATTTGCCACAAAGCCATTTTGTGTGATATATATGTCACAAGAAGAAAAAAACACTATTGAGAGAAAAACATCTCTACATACAAAGAGACTACAGTATGAGAAATTATACTTCTCATAACAGGACTCAAAGTTATGTATTTATGGTAATAGTGGTTTATGACCTTAGACACATTAAATGACCCTGATATAAGGATACTGTGCCTATAAGGACATGAAAGCTATTTATCATAATGTAGAAAGAGTAAATTTGCTTAGATTCATGCACAGAAAGGTACTGATGATACATAATAATCAGAACATTTTACAAGTATTAAATTACTTGAAAAATCTACAAAAGAATATTAGTAGCATCAGACTAACAGGTACATTAGCAGAAATAAAGGCTACATATTCCATCTAATTCTTAATGTCAGAGTATCTGTAGGAATGGATAAACACTAGAGAAATTTGCTTTGAGGTAGAGATGAAAATACCAAAATAGAAATTCATACTTCTACTTAGGGAGTAACGATGGTGATATAAGGAAAACAAAATCTACCTGCCATTCAAACTCGCTGTCTGACCAATCCCAGTATGTGCTAATAGAGGAGGAGACATCACTGCACACACTCCCCTCAGGGAATAAATCAAAAGAAGTGAAGTCTTGATCATCTAACAAGGAATAGCAATCATCTTGATCTCCAACAGAAACTGATGAAAAGAGTTCCTCACTGCATTCTGAGCTGGCAACACTTGTTCCACAAGAAGTTAAGTTCCACCTTAAAAACAGAACACAAAAGAAATCACAACAGGAATTACAGAATTCACCCAATTTGAAGACATTAATAACATTTATGACATTTATGAGGAATGACAAAATATTTTAGGTATGATAATGATATTGTGATTATTTTCAAAAGAGCCCTTGTCTTTTTAAATATTGTATTTATTTATTTTTAGAGAGAGGGGAAGGGAGGGAGATAGAGAGTGAGAGAAACATTGATGTGTGAGAGAGACATCAATCGATCAGTTGCCTATCACACACCTCCAGTTGAGGATCTGGCCCGCAACCAGGCATGTGACCTGACCAGGAATCGAACCAAGAGCCTATTGCGTTGTAGAGTGATGCCCAACCCACTGCACCATGCTGCGAGCCCTTATCTTTTACATCTATATAGTACTGTAAAATATATATGAATGAAATGTATCTGGGATTTGTTTCAAAGTAATAAGGAATGGGTTGGTAAATCAGTATAGGTATTCATAAAGCACATTGCCATATGTGAATAACTGCTGAAGCTGGGCAGTGGGTATATCTGGTTCATTACACTATTCTCCCTACTGTGTATCTGAGAAATTTTGTTATACGGTATTTGAAAACAAAAATGTATTTAAATTAGGGATAACGTAAAACCTTTATCCATAAACAAAACATATACAAGGTCTGTCTAGAAATAGTCCAGCCATTGTTAATATAAGCAAGAACAGTATGTATGACATGATGTAACCTGGCAGCCAAGGAGAGTGGACTGGAATGTGCATGTGTGAACAATGACAATTTCACTGTACTAGTCAGTGGGGGCAGTAGACACAGTCGAGTGAGCATGAGTACTGTATGGCCATCACATTCAAAATGACTTAGCAAGTAGAGTAATGAATCTGCATCAATTTTTGCATTGAGCTTGATCATTCCTCCATGGAAACTATCTGGATGATTCAGAAGGCTGTAGCTATGGGCTACTGGTGATTGGCAACTTCATTATGACAACATGCCTGCTCACACATCACATGTCATGCAGAGTTTTTCTGGTGAAACATCAAATCATCCAGGTGACTCAGCCCCGCTACAGCCTGGAATTGATACTGTGCAACTTCTGGCTTTTCCCAAAACTAAAATCACCTTTGAAAGGGAAGAGATTTCAGGCCATCCATGAGATTCAGGAAAATACAACAGGACAGCTGATGGCAACTGGGAGGACTGCGTGAGGTCCCAAGGTGCCTACTTTGAAGGGGACTGAGGTGTCGTTATCCTGTATACAGTGTTTCTTATATCTTGTATCTTCTTCAATAAATGTCTCTATTTTTCATAGTATATGGCTGGATACCTCTTGGAAAGACCTCACAAGTACTTATAAAGACCATAATATACTTAGTCAAATACTTTTCTGAAAGGCTGCGCCAATTTACACTCTCCAAAGCAGTGTATAAGTGCTTATTTCACCACAACCTTAACGGCACTAAAATTTTCATTTTTTAAAAAACCCACACCTGAGGATTCTAATGATTTTAGAAAGAAGGGGAAAGGGAGGGAAGGAGAAAGAGAGAAGAGAGGGGGGAGGAAGAGAGGAAGGGAGGGAGAGCGAGAGAGAGTGAGTGAAAGAGAGACATCGATGCAGGATCCAGTGCCTCTCGTATGAGCCCCGACTGGGGATCAAACCCACAAACTTTTGGTGTACAGGACGGCGCTCTAACCAATTGAGCCACCTGGCCAAGGATGGAATTTTCATTTTTAAAATTGTTGCCAAAGGATGGGAGAAAAACATTTTTATTTGAATTTTTAATTTTTGATTACTGGCAGGATCAAAATTTAAAATATTTATCAGCTATTTTGCTACAGCATTTTTCTCATGTTAATGTTTTCTTATTGATTTTGTAAAGACTTTTTTATGCACAAAGGATATTAACCTTTCATCTGTAATATTTGTAACAGGATTATAATTTTTTTCTCTTTGGTTTTGAAATCTACAAAGCTGTGGATTTTCACTGTTTTGGCAGTAGCCTAGAGAATTAATCTTTAAGATAATGATTTAGTATATCCAATACTAATACAGTACTGCAATAATGACTTTTCTGAAGAAAAGCCTGTTATTTACCTATAACTCGGTTGTTTCTCATTCATTAAATCCAGTTTTTTTCTTGAATTGTATATTTTATTTATTTAATGCCCTTCATATTTTGTATGACTATCCTTAATTCCAAAGTTCTTAATTTACAAAATTCAGGCAACCCAGCAAATTCTATGGCACATTTTCCATTGAGCTACTGTATTTTAAATCATTGAAACACAGACACATACGCTCTAAACTATTATAGTTTAGTAAATACAAAAGCAGATGTCAATAAACTTTTATAAATAGGCAAATTATAAATTCATCTAAGAATCCAAGGATATACCTTGTAATACTGCCTAGTTTCATCATATGCTTTCTAGGTAGGAAGTATCCTCATTTAAAGAAAAACAATCAACAAACCTAGCAGAATTCACCAAACTGCTCACGTCATGCAGTAAGGCAATGTAAGTTCTGTCCTGGACACAGGTAAACTATAGCTACATTGTGTCCTGGGCAAACTATTTTTTCTTTTGTGTCTTCAAATTGCACGTGACATTTTTTGAACCTTTATTCACGCACCCACTCAACATTTAGTCAGTATCTTCTATGTGCAAGGACTGTGTTATGTCCTAAGAAAGGTGGTTAGAGAAATGTTTTTAATGAGATTTTCTTTTCAGCTTGCAAAATGTTGATAGAAATGTATATTTCCCTCTATGATTAATAATGACTTTTAAAAAACTGTGCCATATTTAAAAATCTTATGGTTAGATCACTGATAAGGGAGTCAGGAATATTTCAGAGTTGGTTTTCTATTGGTTTTGTGTTCTTACTCTAGGGCAAAATGAGTATGTTTTTCAGTTTTCCAGATCCATGTCTTTGTAACAGATATAAAAGGGTTCTGGGTATCAGAAGCCTTTTTCCTTTTAATTTAATCTTTGTTGTATTTTTTCCCATTACCATTTAGTCCCCTTATACCACCCCCCACACCAGTAAACACCACATTGTTGTCCATGTCATTAGTCCTTTTTCCTTTTTGTTCAATCCCTCCACCTGCTAACCTCCCCCACTACTTGCTGCCATCTGCTCTATGAGTCTGTTTCTGTTTTGCTTGTTAGATCTATTTGCTCATCAGATTCCACATGAGTGAAATCATATGGTATTTGTCTTTCTCTGCCTCGCTTATTTCACTTAGCATAATGTTCTCGAGATCCATCCATACTGTGACAATGGGTAAATTTTTCATCTTTTTATCTTTTATTAAAAAAATTAACAATGGTGTGAAACCTAACTCATACTTGAAACAAATCATTCAAAACAGAAAAATAGTATGTTTTACTATTAGAAATATTTTTATTCTATTGTGTTCTAACTTGCAAATATTATTTTTTATTATCAAAGGCATTGTGAATAAAAACAAGGTAGGAAGTACTTTAATTCACTACTTGGAGTGCTGTTAAATTGGCATAATTTTTTTGAAAAGCACTTGGTAATGCATATATATCAAGAGCTTCAAAAATGTTCATTCCATTCAACTCAGTAATCTAGGAATCTATCCCCTTCCTCAAATAGAAATTTGGAAAAAAGATGTATGTACAAACATCTCTAAACAATGGAATAATAGCCAAAAAAGGGAAAATAAATCTGATAAGAGTTTAATCTCCAAAGTATACAAAGAATTAATACAACTCAATGCCAGGAACATAAACAACACAGTTAAGAAATGAACAAAGGACCTGAATAGACACTTCTCCAAAGAGGACATACAGAGGGCCCGTAGACATATGAAAAGCTGCTCAATATCACTAATCACTGGAGAAACACAAATTAAAACCACACTGAGATATCACCTCACACCTGTCAGAATGGCTATCATTAATAAATCAACAAACAACAAGTTGTGGTAAGGATGTAGAGAAAGGGGAACCCTCGTGCAATGTTGGTAGGAATGCAGACTGGTGCAGCCACTATGGAAAACATTATGGAAATAACTCAAAAAGTTAAAAATTGGTCTGCCTTTTGACCCAGCAATCCCACTTCTGGGAACATATCCCAAGAATCCCAAAACACCAATTTGAAAGATGATATGCACCCCTATGCTCATAGCAGTGTTATTTATAATAGCCAAGATCTGAAAACAGCCCAACTGTCCATCAGTACATGAGTAGATAAAAAAAGCTGTGGTACATTTACACAATGGAATACCACACAGCAGTAAAAAATAAAAACTCCTACCTTTTGCTACAGCATGGATGGACCTGGAGACAATTATGCTAAGTGAAATGAGTCTGTGAAAGAAAAATACCACATGATTTCACTTACATGTGGAATCTAATGAACTCCATAAACAAAAAACAAAATAGTAACAGAAGCTTAAGATACATAAAACAGACTGACAGCTGCCTGAACGGGATGAAAGATGGTGAAGGGATTAACCAAAGAGCATTTATACACAACCCGTGGACATGAACAACAATATGGGGATTAGCTTGAGGAGGGGAGAGAGTGGAGCTGGGTGGAGGTGGGGAAAGGGAGGAAAAGAAAAAAATGGAACAGCATAAATAATAAAAATAGACGTTAAAAAAAGTAACAACATCAAAATGTTGTCAGTTACCTTTAGTGAAAGATACCATGAGTGGTCATTACAGTTTTGTATATGCCCACAATTTTCTATGATGAGCTTTCATAATAAAAATTTACATATTCTTTTAGACTGTTCTGTCAGTTTCAGATGTGTAACAAATAATCACTGTATGCATGTGCTCGACACTAAACTATTCAAATTTACAAAACCTTTACATCTTATTCCACTAAGAGAAAGCTACCTAAGACTAACATCCTAGCCATAACCATAAAATTATTCACAAAGGAGACTTTCTCCATACTGTAAAAAAAAAAAAAAAAAAAAGTTGAAAGAATCCCAATGAAATGGGTTTTAACTCAATGACTAG